AAGTTTCTTAATTCAAATGATATTCAAAGAATTGCAAGTTTGCAAATGTGATTCATTGCTTAACATCTTGAAAGTAACATAAATTTATTTAAAAATTCCTTACAAAAACTTGAGAAAAATAAAGAGAAAAAAAAACAGATTCAAACATAATGCCTCAAATGATGAAATGATCTTCCTCACTTGGATGCCCCCAAGTTGTTGAAATCGATCCAGTTGTGGTTATGCATCTTCTGTATGACTCTTTTGAATGCGTAACAGTTCTCGATTGTGTGCCCTGGGACACCGCCGTGATATTCACAATGTGCATTCTCATTATACCATTTGGGGTATAGGGGCTTCATGGGTTCCACCGGATATGGTGACACTAGATGGGTATCAAGAAGTTGCTGGTAAAGCTCCTTATAGGTCATGGGAATATGGTTAAAATGCTCTATTTCCTTTTGGGGTTCTCTGAAATCTTGTTTAGAAATACCTGATGGTACAACTACAGTTGATTTTGGGCCGAAGATTGTAACAGTTTTATTGACGTATTTGATGTTGTTAATTTCTCCATCCCTCTTCATCGTAAGAGGTTTCTTACTGGCTTCCCCATCCTTAATCTTGCCTTGCTTTATAGCCGACTCGATCATTTCTCCGGCCATAACCAAGTCTGAAAATCTCCCTGACGTGATTGCAACCAGGTGTCCGAAGTATGGAGCCTTTAGGGTCTGTACAAAAAGCTTTCGGGTTTTCTTTTCATCTAAAGGTGGATGAACTTGCACAGCCAAGTCCCTCCATTTTTGTGCGTACTGCCAGAAACTCTCGTTATGCTTCTTTTCCATGCTTTGTAGCATGACTCGATCTGGCCTTATGTCATTGACATACTTGTATTGTTCCAAAAAGACTTGGCCAGGTCATTCTAGGTCTTGATATTTGATTGGCTTAACTAGTTGTACCACCGAATGGCTGAGCCCGACAGACTCTCCTGGAAGCAATGGATCAGGAGTTGGCCGTTTCCTCCATATCCTGTCATCTTTCGGCAGAACATGGTGATGTGAGCGGATGGACAACTGTTCCCGTCAAACTTCTCAAATTCTGGGGAATTAAATTTTGGAGGAAGAACCAAGTCCGGGGCTAGACTGAGTTTCGCGGCATCGATTTCATGGTAGTCATGGTCTCCTTTGACTACCTTCATTTGGTCATCCAATTGTTTGATTTTTTTCTCCATCTTCCTCGCTTTGTCATCTTCGTCCAAATCCGGTACATGGTAATAACCCGAATTGTTCTTAGGGTTAAATACAGAGGATGAGGGATTCGCTTTTACAGTAGATGAGTCCCCTCGAAGTTATGGTAAGATTTCAGGTGAGATAACCACTTGCGGGGTAGGTTGTATAGTTACCCCTTCCGGTGAACCTGCCCCAAGCGCACTGGTATGTTGTAGGCCAACTAACTTGGCAACGATCTGATCAACCAAGGACTCTTGGTTCTTCATGATTGTATTCAGAGTACTCAGACTACTCTGGTTTATCTTGTCTTCAAGTTCTTTCTGTAATTTTTCCATGTTCTCCTCGATTTTCTCCATTCTTGCTTCAATCTTCTTCTTTTTCAGGCGGGTGTTATGCGGATGGGGTGTGTCCAACGCTTGAGGCGGTGTATCTAGTATTTGGTCCTTTTGATGAGACATGTATATGTTAGTTAATGTGAATGTAAAGAAAAATAACAAAATGAAAAATATGTCTAGATGCATAATGCATGCAATGTTTGAGGCATTAATCAAAAATGTGTTTGTTATTAGAAATAATCCTTATTGGGGACAAAAGTGTTTTATCTTTTAAGAGACAAAAAATATTCTGACAGCTTCTGACATGTTGACTAGTCTTCCGCCTTCATCCGTCATCGATTAAATAACCTGTCGAACCGCTCTGGCTTTTCTGGATGAACCGTGCAAATGACGAGTTGTTTGCCCCAAAAAAAAGTCTCGAAGGACTGCACCTCCAGCATTTATCTTTTGTTGAGCTTGTTCCCAACGAATACGTCATTGGAGCCCTTAGTTGATAGGAACTATGTGAAGTCCATTTGTCTGTTTCTTGAACTCGTCAGCAATGGTCTCCAATTTTAGTTATCGTTTTGCCATTGTCGTCTTTGAAGTGACTCCTAAGATCAGTGGCCTTCATCTTGCCCCTGCAGCTTCTACCAGTCAGTTCTTCAAAGATAGACTTTCATTGTGCTTGATGTAGATCTGGTTCATTGAGTCCTTTATAATACAATATAGTGATATACTCTTCAATTGTGAGCACCACGTCTTCTGGATTAAATGTGACACATAGTCTCCTTGTAGACTGTCATTTGCATTTTCATCTCTTGTATTACAACCCCTCTGTCCATTAATGTAGATTATTCATGTTTAGCAAACACGCTTTTGGTGGATCAACACATCTTTTAAATGATGCAAGTGATGAAAATAAAATGAAAGAGAAAAAAAAAGAGTTAGTGAGGTAAAAATAATCAAAAATAATCATGAAAAATAAAAGTCCTACCCCACATGATATCTACCCGAACATGCTTAATATTCCTACCCGGACATGATTTATATCCCGCATGCTAATTTCAAACAAATCCTAACAGCATATTTGTCTAATTCGCATGCTTTGAACAGAAAATAAAGCAGGAAACAAATCAGCCTAGGGCTTGGAATGAGGTTTTGGGGTGGGCTCTAATTCCCTGTACTCTCCCGGTTTAGGTTCTAAAAAAGGTACTCGAGTTCCCCTTGCCGGTGCCCCCATGGGCTTGCCAGACCCTTAGTCCTAAGCCTATTACAAGCTTATGTGGACTAAGTTAAACTTGAGAGGAAACATTCCCTTATGCCCATACGGAGAATAAATTCACACGAAGGCATAAGGTATATGAATCCCGAAGGTTACTTGCTAAGCCCATACGGTGAATAAATTCACACGAAGGCGTCACTTTCGCCCCCACTTAAAAGGGTTTGGAGCTCGGGTATAGAGCTAGAGATGACAATTTTGAAAAATATCTGAAATCATTAAAAAATGTTAGTACAACTATTTATTTGAAAAAATAATCAAAGATAAATAATAAGAATAGAATAAATAAATTAAAATTTAAACTTGTAATTTTCGTTAAAAAATACAACCGGAAATTAATTTCGGCATGACTCACTTACCTATCCCCAGTAGAGTCGCCAAGCTGTCGGAACCGCCTTTCGATGGGGCTCGAAATTAGGCTTCGACTTGAAATAAAAGTGTTAGAGTCGCCACCGACCATTTTAAAATGAATTTAGGTAGGTCAGACACCGTCTTACCTGATCTGCGTTGTACCAGAAACGTGTCAGGTTCGGGAGTCGGTTACGGTCAAGGAAGGATTAGCACCCTTGAACCGCCCTTTCGGTACCAATTAATTTATTGGTTGTCTTAATTTACGAAAATTAAAAAATTAAAATTAAAATTTAAAAAATTTTGATTCGAATTAATTACCTCTGATTTGTTGGAGTTTCTCAGGGATGGTGGAAAGGATTTAAGAATCCTCTATTTGCACTTTAGTCCTCGATATATAAATACCCAAAATCACTCTTCTCCCCTTCATTCTCACCATTTTCTCATATATGATCTCTCTCAAATGAGAGAAACGCTCCCTAGCTCTCTCAATGCCCTCTTCTCGGCTGATGAACGACCACTGACCACCACCACTCCGGCCGATGACTCACCTTACCCCCGAGATCCCAATTCTAGCCCCAAAATACCGAGATAACACCTAGATCGGAGCAGATCTAGCCGTGAAGTTACTGTCCCTTACCCTTTTTCCGACGATTCCTTCTCTTCCGGGGGGCTTCTACGGTTTAGTTTTCACTTATTTTGCTTGATTTTTCTGTGGGGCTTCGGCCATTGGTGTATGAGTTTGATGATGTTCTTTTTTTTGGGTTGTTGGCTACTGTTTTTATGGCACCGTTTATGGATCTGGCTGTTCTCGATTGGTTTTCTGTGTTCTGTTTTTTGGTTTGGTTGTGGTGGTTGCTGTTTTGTTCACTGTTAATGTTGTTCTGTTTGTGATGACGGCTCGATGTTGTGGGTATTTTTCGATGATAACCCGGTTTTCTCTTGTCCCCCTTGGCCATATTGATATCGGGGGCTTATATAACCCCGATATGCTTGATATTGGCCCCAAAATAATTGGGATTGTGGCTATTACGTCCGATCTTCTCGAGCATGTGTGACCGTTCATCCCGGGATGGGTCAATCCCGGGATGTTCGACCGACCATTTCGCCTTTTTACCATTATGTTACCTTTGTGCGACGCCGTTGCAATCTGTGTTGACCCAAATGATATCTTAGGGTTTTGTCAACCCTAATCCTCTATTACGGCACTATGACATACGCTGAAACCCTAATATAACCTCTGAGTTGGGTCAGGCTGGCTCTCTTGGACTTATTTTTGGACCTGGATCACAAAACAAAATAAATTAAATTAAATTAAATTAATAAAATGAAATGAAATGAAATAAAATAAAATAAATATTAATAATAATATAGATTATATAATATATATGTTTCAAAAAAAACTATATATTATATTTAAAAACATTTTCAAAACTATATTATATAGTTTTCAAAAATGATTTTAAAAACATTATATAAGTTTTCTAAATTTTTTAAAACTATATATATTATATAAATTTTCCAAAAATGTTTTTTAAAAGCTATATATTATATTTTCAAAATGATTTCAAAACTATATACTATATAATTTTCAAAATGTTTTAAAACTTATATATTGTATATAAGATATAAGTTTTTTAAAAACGTTTTAAAAAAACTATATAATATATATTTCAAAAAATATTTTTTGAAAACTATATATATTATATTTTTCAAAAACATTTTCAAAAAATTATACTATATTACTATAATAAAAAAAATAAAAAGCCTAAATATGAACGAAAATGAGTGACTACACTGTTATTATTGAGAACTCTAATTTTTCACTTGATTTAATCGATTCTGGAATAAATGAAGTTGAAGATCAGCAAAGCCTGTGATCTTGGCTCCATCTCTGTTTTTCCTCCTAATACAAGGAGATCAAGCATGCCGCCGAGTGTACCGCAATCATCACAACTTAGATCACAACCATCACAACAATCGTTCTCACAGGGGATTTCCTCTCAGCATGTCTTGTTTTCTCAGATCACACAAAACTCGATGAAATCATGACAACTGATCAGATTCTGCAGAAAACATATTTGTTTTCCACTGTTTTCGTTGAGATTGCAATTTGGAGAAAATACATTTTGGAGCAGTTACATCTCCGACAGTTTTCCCTTCTGGTGTTCGTGTCGCTTCACACGGTATTGGCCCTCTAGGTCCATCTCGATCAGAAATTCAAATGTCTCACCATGTTTATGAAGCCGAGAATGATTGTAGCTTCTTCTTTGAGAAAAAGAACTCAAATGAATCTTGTCTTCGTTTGGAAGATTGTGAAGCTGAAGCCGAAATAACTCCTTCTGTTGTTGCTGTTGCAGTTATTACTAGTGACGAGATTGTTGGGAAATTAACGTGTAGCACCGCCGTATTTCGCCGGTAGGAGGCCTACAGGTTTCTCCTTTCCGAATTCGGCTCCTTTTTCCTACAACAGTGTTCCGCCACCGCTCAACGGCATCGAGATGGCCAAGCAGAGAGCTCAGGAGATTGTCGCTCGCCTTACTGCATCCGTTGCCTCTGCTGGTGCTGAGCTGAAGCGCCCTCGTGTCGAAAAAAGATCTGGCGGTGGCTTTGATTACGAGAAGGGATTTAGCTCCGCTCCTTCTTATATAAAACCTTCATCAAACTTTGCTCCTTCAGCCATACCGGTTTCTTATGGAAGCTACCATGGTAGTAGCAATAAGATTGATATTTCTCAAAATAAGGTTGGTGTTATAATTGGGAAAGCTGGAGAAACCATCGAATATCTTCAACTACAATCTGGGGCAAAGATTCAGATCCAAAGAGATACTGATGCAGACCCAAATTCCATGACTAGGCCTGTAGAGCTCGTGGGTACTGCTGAACAAATAGCTAAGGCGGAGCAGTTGATAAATGATGTTCTTGCCGAGACTGAAGCAGGGGGTTCTGGCATGGTTTCTAGACGAATGACTGGACAGAATTGAAGTGAACGGAAGGAAGGATCGGCACTTCCGATTCAAGTCGAACGGAAGAAGGCATCGGCACTTCCGATTCAAGTTAAACGGAAGAAGGCATCGACACTTCCGATTCAAGTCGAACGGAAAGAAGCATCGGCATTTCTGATTCAAATCGAACGGATGAAGCATCAGCACTTCCGATTCAAATCGAACGGAAGGAAGCATCGGCACTTCCGATTCAAATCGAACGGAAAGAAGCATCGCACTTTCGATTCAAGTCGAACGGAAAGAAGCATCACACTTCCAATTAAACTAGAACGAATGGTTTACTAAATCATTGTCCAAATCTTCATTTGCGTAATTTTAACCCAAAGTGCAGGTTTTCTCATTTGCTCAAGGAGAAGGAAAAGAATAGGGAGAATATTAGAGTATCTAGAATACACGATTGTATTCTAAAATATGCAATGTGTGCATATGCTCCTAATATGAGCATTGTGTGTGTGAGTGAGCTGTTAAAGTTTGTTATGAATGTTGGAGTCTGTTTTGAATCTGTTATAGAGGTAGAGTAAACTTGAAGGCACAACTATTATATAAGCTGGTGTAATACAAAGTATTTCATGAACATTAATAAAAGCTTCATTCTGTCATCTTCTCCATGGCAGCTTTCTCACATTGTGAAAACCAACTTTTTGATCTAATGTTATGCAGGGTAGGGTACAGGTGCAAAAGCAAATGACCTTCTGGTCTTGTTAGAATCGAGGAATTCATTTGTTGGCCAAATTTGCAGCAACTGTGATGGTTTAATTGTCAAATGAGAAGTTGTGTTGGTGTGCTGCTGGTGTGCTTGTGTTTAAAATTTGTTAGTGCTGTTTCGGTGCGGGTGTGTGTGATTGTCAATGGAACAGAGTAGGTGATCGTTACATGGCTTGTGTTGGTTTCTGGATGGGTCCTCCTGGAGACTGTTTTGTCGGGTGATGGGTTGATTGCTGGTGGTGCCTTAGACATTCTCGGAAGTTGGGTTGGTAGTTTGCTGCATGTATGGTCACGTGCTAGTTCTTGTTGCTGTTGCGTGAAAGCTTTTGATTTGTGGGGATGTTGTCTTCGAATTGTTGCATTTTTAGCAGTGTCTATTTGCTTATTATGTTGAATGTGATGGACCCAGGGACAACGTTGTATAATGTTTTGTTTTGGGTGTCGTGGGTGAATGCAGGCGTTGTTGTGTGTTGGTATAGTATACTATATTGGCTTGTATGGTTGCTTTGTTGTGGTGGCTGGATTATGTGTAGAGAACTTTGATTTGCTTGGTGTCGGGTGTGGTGAAGTGGTCGTGCAGAAAGTGCAAAATCTGGGTGAGCGTTTCTGTGTACTGTTTCCTTATGGATTTGGTGTCCTCTTGTTGTTGTGGTTGTTATGTTTGGTTCATAGAGTTAGTTGCTGCATTGGATTGCCTCAAGGCTGCTTGGGAAGGTTGCGTTGCAGTGATGTTTGCATGCATAGTTGTTGGGTTGTTAATTACGTTGTGTGGTCTGTTTCGTTGTGTATGAGTATTGGTTGATTATTCGCTTTCCGACATAACATGGTGCCCTCTTTTTCCTTTGACTATGATTAAGAAGGTTTTTTAACAAGGTTCATATTTTTATCGTTTTGTATTCGAATTTCCTCAATGAATACGAAACCCCTTTCAAAAAAAAAACTTCAATATAATCTTATTTGAATTTGATCAGAGTCGGAGGTAAAGGATCGTCGAAGTTTAGAACATGATTTTACAGATTTTTTTCTCTTAATTTTACTTTATTTTTTTATCAAATCACCATGGACCCCCAAAAATTATTTGTTGGCATGAACCAATAAACCCAGCTAAATGAAAGAATGAACATGTCATTTCGCTTCTTATCATGCTTTATATTTAAAGTTTCCTCAATATTTCTTACCTTATTTGCCAATTTTAGATTTCTGGAGTAGGAAATTGGGATTTTTTTTTTGGTTTCATTTATACTTACAATCTACGTAATCTCCATTGTCAATACTATCTTTCAATTTTTTTTCAAGTTAAAAATCTTGTTGAATTTGGCCTGCTGTTAAATTATAACGTCATCTTGGTCTTATGTTAACTTTGTGTCGACATCGTGTGACAAAAGAAACATAAAGGTTGAACTTGAGCAACCATGACACGAAGGGTCTGTAAAAAAAAGTCAGGCTCTTGAGGAAAGCTTTGTCAAGTTCTTCAATCTCTTACAATAACTCTAACGTCAACAATCCCATCCACGTCAATGCTTTAAATCCGAAAAATCCGCGGGTTCACTGTTCAATGTCATCGGAAATTTTGGTCTTTCTGGTGCAAAGAATGCATCGAGAATGTGAACAAGTCAAATATATCGACTAAATGAAAGAGAGAAGAAATGAGAAAGAGATAGAGAGCGAATACTTGAGTGCACGACGAAGAAAACTATACCTAAAGTTTTCTTTTTATTTTATTTTAATACTCCATCAATAAAAACTTAATACTTTTAATACCTAAACTATAAGTTTTAATCTGTTTTAATACTTAAATTTTCAATTTTTTTTGAAAACTTAATCAATAAACTAAAAGATAATTTACACGACAGAAAATCAACATGAACTTGGCTCTCTAATTTTGTGAGATCTAATGCTTAAGAACATTTATTATCATTTGATTTAATAGTTGAGGTCCAATATGGAACATAAGGATAATGGCATACACGCACATCAAACAATTACTAAATTCAATGATCTCGAGACCCACTAGCACTAGGCAAGGGAAAAAATATTAGAATTAAAACAATGGACAATAATATACACTGGTTACCCTAACTGCATGCAAACTGCACTGCTAAATCATCTAGCCAACTATAAGAAAATTCCTCAACTCAACTCAGCCTCGCACAACTATTCGACTATTGTACTGCTGCTTAGATCACCACACCACAAAGATTGACAGATTTTAACTACAATACATATCATAGCCACCATCATTATCATGCTCAACACAACTATTTCCCCATTATCCGACTAACTCACAACCATAAGCAACCACAGCACACCCAATACCTCAATCATCTGCACAATCGGCCATCACTTTCGCCGTGCTGAAGCCTTGCTGTCCATCCTTATTCTATCAGCATACATGGGCAATCGAATAATCTCATTGATCTCATTTAATAAGATTTCGTCCGTGATATTATCCCTTATACTTCGCATGACCTGTTCTTTGCATAAACAAACATCTTACTGCAGTTAGCTCGGCAACATCTTGAAAACTATTTCTCTACTAGGCAATGAGAGAGAGACAAACAGAAAGACAGACAGACCTTCTTGAAAGTATTGAAATCGTTTGGAGTCGACTTATCTGTCCTGAACCGCATATAGACCCACACCTGTTGATCCGGATCCCAAGAACACTCAATAATCTTCCCGTTGAATGAAGATGGATGATCTGAAACATCTGCAAGTAATTCGGGGGGAAATCAAAATCGAAGGTAATATTTCAAATGAAGCAGAAAAACAGAATAAACACATTAATAGCAACCTCTGAATTCAACTGTATCCCGTTCCATCAACTTCTTTTTTCCCCGTTCATAGAGGAAAAGTTGTTGACGATCATCACTGCCAATCTGTCAAAGGATATAGGTTTCAGTTTAGGATCAATGTCAATGAACTTCTTAGGAAAATGAAAAAGAAAACGATTAAAAGAAAATTGAGACACAACCTCAAATAGAAAGTCAACAGAGTTCATCTGAGCATATTTCCACTTCAAAAGACCTTCATGAGTGCGAGGTACATAAGGATCATCCCAACCCTGGCAAAAGAAATCAGTGATTTTCATAACATAACATGTGTAAGAAGTTCCACAAACTCAAAAGATGGGTTTTTAATGAGGCCCCACATTCCTATAAAAAAACAAACTCAAAAGATGCATGAATCAACAGGATACAGAGTGAAACCATATATTCTTGGATAATACACATATATACATACTGTGGTACTACAACTGATCAAAAGATCATTTGCAAATCAAGAGAAATAGTAAAATAAACAAGTCTAAAAGGTTTGAGATTCATAATCCAATAATCCTATTTAATCACCTGAAAAATAAGACCATCTGCCTCATGAGAGAGCCTGGGGATAAATTCCTTCAAAACCTTATTTACAGTAGATAGCAACCAAAAATCCTTCCTCCGCACCTGATAACAGAATTAAGCAAATTCTTAGTCCATCTCACAAAGGTATGAATAAATCAGAATATTTAGCAATGGTGCTCCTCAATACATACCCTGAAGGGTTCAAGGTCATATCGATAGTAAGGATTCCTGCTCTGGTAAATGTTCTGCCGCTCATAATTTCGAGGCTCAATAACTTCTTTTTCCAGCATTTTCCATCGTTCATAGAAAGGTCGCTGCATCAGATTGTAATAAGAGAATGGTATTAACATGATTCTGAAAATTAAATGGCATTTTGCCTCTCAATTTCAATCTACTCTTGTATTGAATGTCTCCATTATTGAATTCCATAAGAAAATGAGCAATAGACATCAATAAGGGAAACCAACAAAAGCTCCCTTGACAAATTTTACTTCATAGTCGTTAATTAATGTAATTTTTACCTTCCATACCCCAAATGAATGAAAAACAGTACCTAATCAAATAATGCTTTCTGGAATTTGGTTATGGAGATCAAAACTTAAAGCAAATTAAGACATAAAGCATATCTGGCAAGCCTGTCTAAGGTTTACAATGTATAGTCTCCAGAAGCCTAAAGTAAGTTTAAATAACTATATGGAATGATTTTAACTTAATTATCAGTTTCGTAATACATTTACAAAGACAAAGTGGACAGACAATTAAGAGAAAAAATGGTAGCAAATAAGCAAAACCAACCTCTACTATAGAAATACCGTTAACTGCCATCATATCATAGATGAGATATCTTCTCTCTTGCTTTTGAGAGTCTGGCAAGGTATCAATTACCATTTCCCCATCAAGCAAAGTGAAATGATGAGTTCTGTCCCCT